AGCATGTGAGTCTCCCCAGGACCTGGCTTCTGGACAAACAGGGAGGACCATGATGGGCCCCCAGTGGAGTCTCCAAGATGCCCACCCATTCCTAACCGGTGTGAGCCTCTGAGGGCCACCTAAGGTCCCCAGGCAAGAATAGGGACAGCCAGAGCAATTTGGCCAGATCCAGGGATCAGGGTGGTGAGCTAGCCCCCTGGAGTATAGGGTCAGGGTGGTGAGCTGGTCTCCTTGCAGGAGGGGGTCAGGGTGGTGAGCTAGCCCACTGTGTTGAGGGGGGTGGTCAGGGTGGTGAGCTAGCCCACTGTGTTGAGTGGGGTGGTCAGGGTGGTGAGGTAGCCCCCTGGAGTATAGGGTCAGGGTGGTGAGCTGGTCTCCTTGCAGGAGGGGGTCAGGGTGGTGAGGTAGCCCACTGTGTTGAGAGAGGGGTGGTCAGGATGGTGAGCTAGACCACTGTGTTGAGGGGGTGGTCAGGGTGGTGAGCTAGCCCACTGAAGGGAGGGGTCAAGTGGTGAGCTAGTCTGCTGGGGTGTGGGGTTAGGATGGTGAGCTAGCCCACTGAGATGTCGGGGTCAGTGCGGTAGCCGGCTGGGACACTGGGGTCAGGGTAGTGAGCTAGCCCACTGGGATGCTGGGGTCAGGGCCTCGCCTGCTGGGGCAAGGGGCGGATCTGCAGCCTCTGCTGAGCCAGGGGAATCCTAAGGGCTCTGGGCTGGGCTACCCCAGGGCACACAATTACCCCAAACACAAACATTTCTCCAAATTGCTGCCCGCGCAGCCCCTGGGGAATTCATCACTTCCGGTGATGTCACCCTGCACGCCCTTCTCCTGGAGGGCCCAGACCCGGGGAGCTCGGGTGACCAGCACGCCTCCTCTTGGGGGCTTCCCCTTCCGAGCACCAAGGCCAGTTGGAAACCCCTCGCTTGACCCCAGCAGGCACCGGGCACCCAGCGAGGGGACGGGGAAGCCCAAGTTCACCCCCACCAGCAAGTGCAGCCTGGCGCCCGCCCAGCCTGGACGGGTGGGAGCTCCTCTTGAGCCCGCCCCCTCCCCACAGGCTGCAGACCTCATGGCAGGGGGCCCCTCCCCAGGGCTGCAGAGGGGACTCCTGTGCTCTGGCTGAGACTCCCAGCAGCCAGGGCCTCGTCACCGTTGCGACGGGTGACAAAGGCTGCTGGACAGAGACTCCCATGTGCTCCCTTCAGGACCCAGTTCCAGCTCTGGAGGGTGCTGGGGGCTGGGTGCTCCCTGGGGAGTTCACAGACAGCATGCCCTGTGCCACCACACACGCCCAGAGCTGTCCCCTCCCCTCCCGCCTCCGAGGAGTGATGGGAAGAACAGACGCGGAAGAGGAGCCCCCAGAGCCCTCAGAGCCTGACCCCTCCCCGCCAGGGCCCCCGCCACGCCAGGGCCCCGTGTGTGCCTGGTCTCATCTATCCCCCCCAGATCCATGAAGGTCCCTGTTTCCCCCTTTGCCAAGTGCAGAAACAGGCTCAGAGACGCGCAGCAGCTTGCCCAGGATCACACAGCCCCGAATAACCAGAGCCAGCATGAGAAGCTGTCTGTCCACCTCTGGGATCTAAGGGCTTTATCTCCCTGTGGAGTAGCAGGGGGGACCCAGCTTATCTTGCGGGGCTCAGGAATGAAGCCCAGAGAGGGCTAGTGCCTTGGAAGTAAGTTGGCCAGCAGAACCGGGACCAGAGCTCAGCCCTGCCGGCTTCCTGTCAAGTGCTTCTGGCCTGAGTCAGAAGCAGGACAAGGACCTAAGGAAAGAGCCGTGCCCCCGATGAGGACAGGGCCAGGAATCAGGAAGGCGGGAGCCCAAGGACTCCTTCCCCGTCTCCGTGTTCAGGTGGGATCGTCAGAGGAATCCGAGGCCGCCTAGCTGTCCACCGGCTTCAGCCGAACGGCAGATGCGTGTCGTGCAAGTGTGGCCCACTCAGAGGACAAAACAATCACCTGGGACTATGGGTGCAGCTCAGCGGCAGGGCACTTGCTTAGCATGAAGGAGGCCTTCGGGTACATCCCCAGCACCACACACACACACAAAGTGTATATGTAATATATATATGTCTCTGTGTGTGTGTGTGTGAGTGAGAGAGAGAGGGAGAGAGGGAGAGAGAGCTGAACTCAAGTTGAACTGGGCATCTATTTATTCACTAAATCTGGCAGCCCTAAAAGAACAGGAGGAAACGGGATCTCCACTGGCCGCACAGACCAGGATCACCAGCGCCTCCCCATCGAGGCCCCAGCAGAAACCTCCAGGGTCTGGCCTCCAGGGCTCCTGGCTCTCCCCCCAGCCCTGTCTCGGGGGCCTCAGGCCACTGCCTGAGAGAGGGACGGGGAAGGCTTCTGGGGCAGAGGCTCTCCCGAGGCCAGACGGCAGCTGGACGCAGCATTCGCTCACCACACAGGGCAGCAAGGACCGAGACCCAGAGGACTATGGTAACAGTCCCCAGTCCTGCTAGAGGGGAACTCTCACCCAGGACCCCCAGATCCAGCCCCTCTCGTCCAGCAGGGATGGAGCCCATAGTCAGCCTGTCAGTCCCCCAGAGGGCACCAGGTCCAGCTCGCTCAGTGACCAGGTGGGGAAACTGAGGCTGAGCCGGGTCCTGAGTCCCCTTCTGGGCAGAGCCAAGACGGGGAGGATCTAGGCTAACAGGAGAAGCCGAGGCTACAACTTTCCCCTCAGATGTCATCATGGCCTCCATCATCACCACCGACACGGTCACCACCCCACCATCATCTCCACCATCATCTCCACCATCATCCCCACCATCACCACTATCACTCTCCCACCACCATCAACATCATCCCCACCATCAACCCCACCATCATCCCCACCACCATCTCCATCCCCACCACCATCGTCCCCACCATCATCACCATCACCATCCCCACCATCACCATCCCCACCACCATCGTCCCCACCATCATCCCCACCATCCTCACCATCTCCACTGTCACCATCTCACCATCATCCCAGTCAGATCATCCCCACCGTCACCATCTCCACCATTGTCCCCACCACGACTACCACCTCTACCGCCATCCTCCCCGTCCCTCCCTCACCCCCTCCCCACGCCTCTCCCACCATCCTCTCATGGCGAGCCCAGGTCCCGGGCGGTGTCCAGGCTCACGCTTCTCATATTAAGTCATTGATTGTCTTCTAACCACTCCCTCCTGATCCCAGTCACCTCGTCGCCCCTGGATGGCCTCCAAGGACCAAACTGCCGCTCACGCCCCTCACCGAGGACGGAAGAGGAGTTGGCAAGGAACTGAGGGAGGCCAGGGGAGGTCCAGCTCGCTTGCTTCTCAAGCTGGAGCAGCAATTCCCTCTGATGTTCCCCACGAGTCCGTCCTCCCCCACCTCAGAGCCCAGAGCCCTGGCCCTGGAGCCTGGCCCTGGGGCTCGCAGCTGCGTCCCCACCCGGGGCCCAGGAGCCAAAGCCTGACTGCACGCAGCCAGACCCTCCTCCCAGGCTGTGCAGCCAACTCCGCCCTCCCTGCTGTCAGAACAGCCTCCCGCACCCTCCAACGGGCCCGGCTCATTTGCCAGGAAGCCACCCCATTGCCTTGGGGCCCCCCATTCAAGCCCAGCCCTCTGCAGCCAGGTGGGCACCTGCCGGCTCTCACCTGTGGATGTCCACCAGCGTCTCGACTCCCGCCACACACACAGCGGAAGTGGGCTTCTTCAGGGACAGCTTCACCGCTCTCTG